GCTGGGGCGGCTGGTTCTTCTTCCAGGCGGAGCAGCAGCAAAGTGGTGTACGACGATCATGAGAGCGAGGAGGAGGAGGACGACGACGACGAGAGCGCCGTGTCCGACGAGGAGGAGGAAGAGGAGGAAGGAGGGGATCGCGAGGCGAAGCCGGATTCCGACGAGGACCGAGTGGCCATGGAGGAAGAGGAGGAGGAGGAGGAGGAAGAGGAGGCGGGCGACTCCGATTACCCCGAAGGGATGGAGGACGAGGACGATGCCAGCTATTGCACTGAGAGCAGCTTCCGGAGCCACAGCACCTACAGCAGCACCCCAGGTATTGGGGGGGGCGGTAATGAAGTTGGGAGGAAGGAGAGGAGGGGAGGGGGAGAGAGAGAGAAAGGATTCGTACCTCGCTCCAAAGTGATGCCCGATCCGGTTGCTCAGAGGTGCCCCCCTTGCAGGTGGTGGTGGTGGTGGTGGTTGGAGGGGGGGTAGAGAGAGGCTTTTTCGGGAGGGGGCGCGCAAAAAGGATGTTTACAGTCGTGCGAACCGGGAGGGAGGAACAGTCGATGGGGCGATGCTGGAAACCGATGCTTCGCCACGGAAGGTGGGATGATGGCTTCCAGGCAAGCAAACAAAAATAAACATCGAGATGGGGGCTCTTGGAAAAACAAGCGGAGGACCTCGCGGTGGGTGCTTATAGTATAACTGTGGCAGAGTCGTAGTTCATCAATTAATACATTTTAAAAATTCTGTAGTGCTGGAAGAGAGAAGAGGTGGTTCTCTTTTTTTTCCTCTTCCGTTTAGAAGGATACCTGTAGCATCAGTTTGGGTTTGCAGAAATGGGGGGAAATGTGGCATATGATGTATATAGGATGCCTATAAGCTTGAAAGAGAGCTACCTGACTATACAGATCAGAGGTTATTCATATAAAATAGAAAACAGGTGCATTAACTTTCTAATAAAATTATATTTGACTTAATTGTTTTCTTTCTGACTTTGTGATAATTTTCTTGGAAAGTCAAACTGACTATCTTTTCATGAGGCTTTTATAGCTTGTTCATTTAGTTTAAATTTAAAGCAGTGTTTTGTTTTGGTGGTTTTTAAATTTGTTGTGACCTTGTTTGATCATTCTAAGTACTCATGTTCACTTTGAAAATATTGGTAGTCTATTCTAAAGGTAGGATTTTAATTCTGGTGTGGAACAGAATCTACTTTCAATAACTTTATGGACTGCACTTTGAAAGTATAAGTAGAATTAATTAAGGCAGTGATTATTATGCAATAGCTCATGTGCTTAACTCTGTTAAGTTAGTGTGAGAGAACATTTTCACACAATCTTTAGATACTCACATTTTAAAAAAGAAAATACAGATGCCAGGATCTGGATGTGAATAATGCAAGGTGAGGAGATGAGAACTAACCATTTATCAGAAAACAAAATGTGATATACTTACTGAAATGCTTCACTTTACTAAATACATCTAATGGAGTGGCTTTGTAAAATGTAGTGAAAGCAGACTTTCATAGACTTGTTTTGCCATTACAGCATCAAATTGCTTTCTGACATGGGCATGAAAGTAGATACTGAATTCTCAAAGATGCACTGACGTACATTTATTAGGGTGTGCTACAAAGTCAGAATTTTTTCTGTAATATTTTGTAGACTCAGAATTAACTTATTTCATGAAGGAGTTTGAAAGTTTGTTAAGATAAAATGTTTTAGTTGTCCATCTCCAATGGTAGTCTCAGTCCTGTTAATGGGAAATAAATTGTTTAGTTGTTGTTTAGCCGACTCTTCGTGACCCCATGGACCAGAGCACGCCAGGCCCTCCTGTCTTCCACTGCCTCCCGGAGTTGGGTCAAATTCATGTTGGTCGCTTCAGTGACACCATCCAGATTGTTTAGTAGCATTGTTAATATTTAGCTGTACCTAGGATATATGAATGAATTGTGATTCATAGTTGTGCACCTTTAGAAGACCATACATTATCACTGTTTGTTGATAATATGATTTTTAATATGACTTTTTTTAAATTTTTGCTACCATAGATTAGGGCAGATGCCTTCTTCAAAGTGATTCATTTATTGATCTTTTTGAAGAAGTTTAATAAACATTGTGTCACTGAACCAAAAAACCAACAGAGGATTGTTGCACCTTGAAGATTAGTAAGTTTTATTTGACATAAATTTTCATGGGTTTCAGCCAACTTCCTCAGATGCATGGAGTGTACCCTCAGTCAGTGGACAGTCTTCCTTAGCATAGCCTCTACGTACTGAGGCTACATTCCATGCATCTAAAAAGTGGGCTGGGATCTATGAAGGCTCATACCAAAACACTTGTTAGTCTTTAAAGTATTACAAGAGACTCTGTGGGTTTTGCTGCAGCAGGCTTACACAGCACAGTCCTAGAAACAATTATTTTGCAATTGTTTCTTGTGACTTTAAAAAATACTTTGCTTAGCATCTTTGTTCCTTCTGTTGTCCACTGATGGTAATGAATCTGGTTAAGTGGACATTTATAATTTTGTATTCTAAAGATTCCTTACATTATATTCCTAATGTGACTGACAAATGCTGATCAGGAGGCAGGCAGGTAGATGTGGGAAAGCCAGTTGTGGAGCTTTATGAGGGGTTGTGGCTCAGAGAGACCACTATTCAGCATCTGAGTGCTTGAATCTAGACTAGACCAGAACTCGAGATTACCCAACTCAGCTTTAAACCAGCAAAGAGAAAATGTTAATATATGATTGCTACTCTGTAAAATTAGTAAGCTATTTTGTGGGTCAAAAAAGTATATGCTTTGTTATAAAAATGAAATAAATGGAGCTAGAGATTATTGAGCTTCCATAGTAACTTGTTTGTATTTCGTCCACTGTGACTTGCAGTCGTTATGCCTTGCATGCTGGTGCAAGTGGCCATGATTACTGGTGAAGCTGCAGTGGGTCTGACTGGGAAGTTCCATCTACAGCAGCATGTCCTGAAATCACATCACATAGAATTTTTAGGGTTTTTGTCACCTATGAGCAGATCCTGTCTTTGTGGTATTTGATCAACTTTGCATATGTTGCATGGCAGACCCACGTGTTACTTGGTGGGTCCAAACTTGGGGTGCTAGGCAGTCTTCATTGTGGGTTTTATAAGACACTCTTCTGAGGCCTACCATACCTCACTTCTACTTTTAGTTGCAGAATTGAAAACTGCCTTTAGTATTCATTGGTTTGTTGAGCGTTTTCTGATACACAACCAGGTCGCCACACAGTTTCACACAAAACAGGATTACGCTATAAGTAGCATCACATCCCTTCTATTTCTCAAATCTTACCTCTTTGGTAACCATTCTGTCATTTAATTGCTCTTTAAATTTTTCAATATTTTTGTTAGCCGTTTGTTTCCAAAAGGACCCTTTATTTTATGCTTGCTTTAGTGATGACAAATGTAGTTGTGCACACTCAGTCCACTTCTGACTTACGCCAATCCTGGACAGGGTTTTCAAGGTACCTGAGATGTTCAAGCAGTGGTTTACTATTGTTTCTTCCCAGTGAGTTTTAATGCTGAGTGGAAGTTTGAACCCGCATTTTCTGAGTCCTAGTCTGATTGTTTCTCCACCATAGCACACTGGCTCTCTGAAGGCAGTTTGTTAAATGTTTAGAACATTAAAAAGTCTATTTTTCTGAGTTTATATACAGTATTTATTTAAAATATTTTACCCTGCCTTTCTCCTTAAAAGGACTAGAGGCAGCTAACATCATTAAAAGGACAATATTTAAAAGCTAAAAGCAGTAAGTAAACAAATATTAAAAATAATTGTACAAGTATCATGTTAAAAACAGTAAATAAAATAAATACTAAAAACACATTTAAAAGCAACGGAGCATAAGAGTTGTACCTGTGTTAAGTCTGTGCAAGCATTTCCTCAAAAAACACAAAACAAAACAAAAATAGAAAAGAAAAAATGTGGCACTTTACAGACTGATTGCTATATTTTAATCTAAGCTTTTGGGGAATATCATCTACTTCTTTGACATTTTTAAAGTGCCACAACTTTTTTTTCGTTGTTTATTTCTTGCTTTAAAAGTCTGGTGACACCTTAAAGACCAGTGTGCTTCATTTGGCACAAGCTTTTGTGCGTAAACCCATTACATCAGATGCATGAGGTGCATTGGTGGGAATGTAGAGAAAGAAAATGCAAAATATATCAAATGCTGCTGATTAACTGATTATATAATGCACCGTCTTTGGGAAATGGCAAGAACATTGTAGCATAATCTTCGTTATTATCAGCACAGATGAACATGTTCATGCTTGTATGAAGATGAAAAATGTTAGTTTATTCCAAGAATAAATGACACAGTTTATGTTCTGGATGAACTCTGGGAGTTGTGATCAGAAGGGTTGAAGGGAACTGAAGCATTATAGGCAATGTAAATTTCCTAAACAGCATACATTAGGCAACCGGAAGCATGTACATCCCTGTATAGATGATCTGATTAATGCATGTGGAACAAGAAATCTGTAAGTCTGTATGTGAGCCACAGGAGATAACAAGTAAAGATTTTGACAAATTCTCATCCAGCTGTTAAAATAAAGTCAGTACTGTTCTTCATTTCAAAATTTTCTGATTGATTTACAGTTTTGCAATGTTAAGGGCCACAACATACAATAAAACAATAGCATACTGACAAGAAAGTGGTCCTCTGCACCACTCCAGTATTGTTGAATGATAAACAAGAAGCAGCAGTACAGTGAAGCTGAACCTATTTTATTTTAATGTCCCTATTGTTTTAAAGGGCTTTATAGTTTTGTAAAAATATTGCTGTAATAGAAAGATAATTGATGATTTTTAAAAAAAGTTTGGGATCGTTAAAACCAGAGTGGATTTATTTTAAGTCAAATTTAAACGTTTAAAATTTGTGATTTAAATTGAACTGATATAAATCACAATTTAAATTTTGAAAAATCAGATCTTTTGTGATTTTAATAAAAGTGATTTAAAAAATTTAAATTGTAATTTATATCAGCTCAATTTAAATCACAATTTTTAAACATTTAAATTTGATTTAAAATAATTCCACTCTGGTTTTACGGATCCCAAACTTTTTTTTAAATCATCAGTTATCTTTCTATTACTGTACAGCAATATTTTTACAGTTTGATTTTTATCCACCCTGTTTAAAACTCAGGGGCCACCTTTAGTTTCCAAAGATTGCATGACTCATAATTCTGAAGGAAGAAGTGCTCAACAGGGATCAAAGAGCATGAAGAGTGAAATACTAGAGTATAGGAGTAGATTATTTCACGGAGAAAGAAAAACAACAGTGATCTAAAGACGC